AAAAAATAAATATAGTTAAAAATAATGGATTAATGTTTTGTTGAAAACATTGTTTTTTTAAGATGGCAGGCAAATGTAAATAAATACATTTACTACGAGTATAAAATACTAAAGAAAGGTTAAATTATTACTATCATATAGCTCAGAAGAAGAATAAAAATACCTCTATAAAAACATTGCGCCAAAGTTTAATTGGATTAAAATATTACGTAAATTGAATATCGAATTAGAAACTATCATACCAATGTTTAAAAGAATTAAAATATTATTTAAATTAAATACTTTAAAATAAATAAATAAGAACGCTTCGTGCACTAGAGCTAAAATGACAGCAATTAGTTTATTGTCGGCAAAGAAGGAGGAATATCTAAAACTTTTCTTACCGTTACAGCGATTATTTCTTCCAACATGATCACAATACCATATACGTCCGTCCTCAGAATCGGCTCTCCTAACGATCTTCATCTGTGATCTGCATTTTCGCACTTCATTGAAGAAGCAATTAGCCAGGTTTCCTTCAAAAATTTAAATTTAATTTCCTCTGACCCTTGTAACAAATTTATAAATAAATCTTTGATTAGGAAAGCCTAGGCTGGCCAAAATAAGGTGCCAAAGGACAATTTTTTTATTCCGATACCAATAATTATTTGTAATTACCAATAACAACATTCATCTTCGAAACGGAACGGACATATCCATTCGCTTTGAAATCTAAGAAATTCGAAGAGATGAACAATAAAATTTTAAAGTGGCACGGTAATGCACAAATATTCAGTAACTAATCAGGGAGCTGATTACATCACGCATCAAAATTATTTAAATAATCATACAAAATAAAATGATTTTGTAAAAAAAATGCAAATTTAAATTGTATTTTAATATTTAACAGCCCTAAATAATGTTTAAAATATTAGATTAAATTTATAGATATTAAAGCATTACTTTTAAAGTAAGGTAACGTCATTGATTACATCATCCACACATCAAATTTCATAAAATATCAGAAACAATAAAATTTTTATTTCAATAAAAATAAAATTAAATTATTTTTATATTTAGAAGCCATAAATAAATTTAAAACACGGATTTAATCATAAAACGTATTATTTTTAAATAAAATGACAACAAAGTATCGGTTACCATAAATAACTTACCAGCAATGGGTTTAATAAGTCGTATTCCTCGCCAAAAGAAAAATCGCCAAAAGTCGCCAACTCGTGCAACCGTCTAAAAGTAGCACCTAAAAATCTATAAAGGAGGAAACCTCTCAATTCATAGTCGTGATTGTAGTTAGTTAGTTACTTAGTTTGTTGTGTTTTTCAGGTTTGTTTAGAAAACTGCTCTTGTTGATTGTAGCCAATTCGCGGATTAGCTTTCTTCAGCTGTTTTGAATGAAGTTCTCTTGAACGTTTGAGTAGTTAAAAGATAACTACTGTAAGGTACTGTAATACAGCATGATAATTTGAGGAAATTTAAGCATATTTGTTGTGATAATAATAAATTTTTGTTCATTTTTTATCGGACGTGCATTCATTTCGTAACGAACCCGTACGCACGCAACAATTTTGGTGTCGTGTGGGGTTTGAATGCCAAAAAAGAGAGCAAGGAGAACAGTTAAGGCAGTTGATATCAGCCTTTGCCTCGTTTAAGGAAGAAATGAAATCGGGACAAGAAGAAATGATAGAAGAGATGAAATCCAGCCAGGAAAAGATGGAAGCTGGTCAAGCATCATTTAAATCATTTAAAGAAGACATGAAAGAAGCTGTTAAAGCAGAAATGAATGTGGGCCAGAGGAATTAGAAGAATCACATCATAATAAAAACAAAATTGAAGCTATAGAAGACAGATTGACACGTTAGAAACAGAGTTGGAAAATTGAAGAAAAGATTTCTGCGTCCACAAATTGAGACGGGTTCCGCTGCCGTCGCCAAAGAAGTTGACAGCCTAAGAAGTGCATAGCGACGCAGGAAAAATTCTGAAGGTTTTAAATTCTTCCTATGCCTGCTCGTCCATTTCTGAAGCTTCCACATATGATGGGAAGACATATGGCGTATAAAACCCAATTTTCTATAGTTGCGGATGCGAATGGATAGGATTCCAAGTAGGCATGTCATCTCCCGCTTTGAGAACGACGCAGCGGTTCCTGCAGAGCTCCCGAAAATCAAAGGCTAGATCGAAGCTCTATCCGCTTGGAGCTGCTTTGGGGAAAAGGTTTGAAAAGAGACAGTAGGCTTTAAAAATCCGTCAAAAAGACACCGAAACATTAGGGCTCACCACGGATGTTGAAAGGCTATCACATACGCTTTTCGGAATGTCCAAGAAAAACAAGAGAATCCTGCCGCTGCAATATTTCATCGATGGCATCGGGACCCTGAAATACGAAAGCCCTGCAATGGAGGTGTAAAGATTTGAAAAGGCTTTAGTGTAAGAATGAATTCGAGGCGCCCGCCCGCCCTCGTCGAGACCGCCAACCAGTCGAGCTGCTCAAGTCAGGAGCCAGGGTACAGCATGCGTTAGACGTTTAATAGGCAATGAAGCCTTGAGACGGAATATTGGTGATAAGAACCGACCGTTCTGTGGGGCTGCGGTGCGAAGGATACGAAGGAATGCAGAACCTCCCAAAGAACAAAAAAAAAAAAAAAAAAAAGACAGAGGAGCTAAACAGCTAAAAATCTAGTTTTTTGTCATCTACTGCTTTGATCAATGAGGATTTTTACATAAAAACGCGTTTTTCCAAAACATGATTTTTTTATACTCGATGTCCCTTTTCTCAGGAACTACTGCTCACAGGTATCTAAAATTTTATGGATTATTATTAGATTCCATAATATTTACAGAATGAGCTTCTGTATAAAACTTAGAAAAAATTTTTTTTCCATTTTTTGTGTGAGAAAAGTTGTTAAATTTTACTTGATAACAAAAATATTTGTAATTTATCTAAAATTCAAAATGTTAAAAGCTCATTCAGTATAATCAGATAGATTACTTTAATTACAGAAAAAATTTCAAGCTTATATCTACAGCAGATTTTGAGAAATGGTACATCGAAAATGGCCAATTTAACATTGTCGGTATAGGGATTTCTGATACCCCATAATATCACCCATTTAATTTTAAAAGTTTAGATCAATTCAGTAAGGCGAATTATATGCAGAGTTTTCAAATACGAATATATTTCTGTAAGAAACTGTCTACCATGCCACTCTTGTAAATCACTTAAATGAATCCAACCAATTAATAAAATATTTGTATTTTCAACAAAATTTAGTACATCTATACAGTCATTTAATTCATAAAATACACTGAGCTTCATACCAAACATTTCACTATTTCGTAGATTCTTAGAACATATCAAAATCTTTTTAAAGAATACATATCATTTCACATTAATTAGGGAGTGCCATAAGAGTTTAATTGCAGGTATTTACTGAATTATACTAAAACTTTTAAGGGAAAAAAATCAAATATTTTTCACCCTTCATGAAATTTATGATCTCTTATGAGATTTATGGTATCTCCTAAGAGCTTGAAGACTTAAAAAACGTTTTGAAAGCAGAAGTTGAACGTAAGAACATAACAAACGTTTTGAAAGCAGTGCGATGAAACAGTATAAAAAATATTAAAATATTTTCAAAATCTTAATTCCCATAAAAAATTTTAGACATTCTTATGTGAAATTATACCTTCAGTCGAACTTGAAGACCAACCAGATGTATTACATGATTTGATACATTTCTGGAATTGTTTCCGGAAATAGAAGCATATATTTTTCATATGTAAACTATTACACTGAATCAATTAAATTTTTTATCCATATTGCTAAACATTTTTTACTGTACAAAATTATTTTAAGCCTCATATTAGAGCTTCAACTTCCATAAATTTCACATAATACTACAGTTACCCACTGCAAACTAGAAGAAAAGATGGATAATCTATGTTACATACAAGAACATAGACTAAAATGATCAAGGACCTACTTAAAGGTCACATTTTCCAAGACGATATATCCAATCTCATTAGAATGAATCATCTAAGGTAGGAGGGGGTAGTTTATTATCTTAAATTGATAAACAAGTGTTTAGGGAAGTCAGGACCTGTTAAACTACCACTACTAGGATATGTACATATCCCTAGTTTAACAAGCCCTCACTTTCTTAATCGCTTGTTTACCAGTTTAAGATAATAAACTACCCCTTCCTCTACTGTATGTACTGTATTTTGTTTTTGTTCAGTTCAGTAACAAAGACTAAATTTCTAGAACAATAAAATTACATACAACAATTATTTAGTAATTATTAGAATGCTTGGTTTCCCAAGCATTAACCTATTTTAGAAAAGGGTGAAATTATGCATATTACGCTAATTCAGTATAAAATTATCTAAAATATTAAAAAAAGATTCGATATTTAATTAACAGTTATTTTAGCAATGACAGTTTGCTCATTAAAATATCCGAATAGTTAAATAACAGATGAAGTTAAAGTCTTACATGCACTTATCGCCTTACGCCTTATTGCCTGTGTAATATATCGATATTTATGACTGATATACCGAGTAAAGGTTAAACAGTAGTGGAATCTTTATATAAAGCAAGAATAACTTTTTGGATAATTTCCCATTACATAACTTTTAATATTAGAATAAAGAACTAAACTTGAAAACTGGTGCTAAAATTTCAACGCAAAAAATTTCCCACCTTTGTCTGGGCAAATAAATTTTTTAAATTTTCAATGCCAATACCTTTCAATATTTTGAAACTTACATTTCTAACGCTATAAGGAATTGTATCCCTTATTACCACGTTAGAAATCTGAATTATTATTTTTCAAAACATAAAGGAAAATAATTGATTTTTTTTAAACTTTGTGGCTTCTGTTGCTTAGTTTATTATGATTATAACAGTATTGTTTCTTTAGCCGTAAAATATACTAAGTAACATAAAATATTTTTAAATTCTTTTAAATGAAAAATAAAAATCACTGAAAACACAAACTTACCTAGACATGTTTGCTTAGCTTCACGCAAAACAACTTCATCATTTGATAATGGATAATGAACTGCAATAGTGATTGAAGTATTATCTTTTTCTTTGTGGAACTTTATCTGTCATTCACCTGCGATACTAACGCTAGAGAGATAAGAACATTTTTTTGTATTAGTATATTTGCTATTGCGATAATACATAGGGAAAAATATTTTAATGGTTTGGTTTTTAATCAAATTAAACAGTAAACATAAAAATGCTGGACTGGTATGTATGGACGAAAAAGAAAACTAATTTTATTTTTCAAATGCACAAGTAATTACCAAATACAAATAACAATATATGAAAAACAAGTTGCAGTTATTCTTGAACGAATCTGATAAAATTAATATAGCGAATTATAGAAAAATGTATAAGACTGATTTGGAGTTTTGTGTAGTAGACACGAGAAATGATAACTGACATAAAAGTTATTTACATTTCCATCACTTTCTTTGTAACAAACGTTTTGAAAGCAGTGCTGATATTTAGCGATATGTTTTCAATAATTCATAAAAAAAATAGAGGCTCAAAGAATTTCAATAAATCTACACCTTAAACAACAAAAAAAAAAAAAAAAAAAAAAAAAACAGAGAGAGTTCTGTGTTTTCTGTTCTAGTCGGCTGATTAAGGAAATTTAATTTTCGTTTTCATGTCTGGAAAGCGCGACTTAGGATTTATATTAGATTTATATAGCATTGTTCTAACATAGATACTTTTTCTCAAAACCAGACTTTTTCTGAAATGTCACATCGAGTCTTTTCCATATTTCGATTCTGCGACTCCAATGATGTCTAAATATAAATTTTTTTAACGCTTGGTGAGAAACTTACCCAGGAGTTAAAAAATTTATTTTCGGGCACCTTTATTAAATTTGAGACAGGAGTAATTTCCTGTGCGAAATTTTTAATTTATAGCAATCTATTTTCCTTTTCGGTTTTTTCATTGTGCACGAGTGGAAAAAAAGATGCATCGTTCATTCTTTCAAACAATATTAACAAAATTCGTAAAGCATATTTGTAGTCATTACACCTTATAACAAATATATTAATTCACCAATATTCACGTATATCTTTGGAAATTTTGGATAAAAAAAACAGGTATGCCTGGAAATACTTCTTTCAAGGTCATGGAAAAAATATTATAACTTCAAAACATTAAAAAAAATAATAAAAATTTCAAATTTAAAAATAAAACAGAAAATATCTGCGAATTTTATTTGGATCGAAACTAAATTTCGAATTATGAAAGACGGGATTAAGTAAGCTTATTATAAAAAGAGATATTAATAAATATAATATACGAAATTAGCATTGAGGAGCTAAAATTTTGAGAAGTAAACTTGCGATTTTTACAAAACGTGGCACTTTGGCATAGTTTGAGTCGTAGACTCGAAATATGGAAAAATCATTGGTATGTCATTACAGAAAAGTCCTATTTTGTGTCAGGTTACATATGTTAGAACAATGCTTTATATAGTAAATTTAATATATATCCCAAGTCACGGTTTTGGAGAATGAAAAATGTGAGTTACATTTCGTCAATCGGTCCAGTAGAACGGGATATAAAAAACTGTTTTTATTATTATTATTTTTAATTACTTTTTTTTCTTGTGCAAGGTCTACACCTTAGGCTGCGTTTGGTTCAATTTTTAAAAGATGTAGTACGCAGGTGTAGATGTAGTATGCAGATGTACAAGCAGGCAATGCCGTAAATAGAAGTATGCAAGGTACACAGCTACATAGAAGTTAGATGTTTCGCTAAGCTAAAATTTGCATGTTTAAATTTTAAATTTGCAAAAAATTAGAAACAGATTAATATTTTTGTTTACATATAGACGCACACACATATTATATATACTATATATCCATATAATGAAAGAATACAAAATATGCAGGGGGATTCCAAATTCATGGTACAAGCTTGAAGTGGAGGTACAGAACAAACATACAAATATTCACATAGGAAACCCAAGTCGCAATCCATTTATTTAGTCATAAATGTAACTTAAAATGAATTTATAATAATAAAATTTTAAAATTAGATAGAGATCACATAACATGTCGTATGAATCGCTTCATACGAAGAACAGCACCCACGGAACCTTTTATCACTCACTCTTGCTTTAAACTACATCACGAAACACATTTGCATGAAAAACACTGCTACCGGTAGAGGACAGTGGATGAGTATTTCAGCACGGGAAGACGCCATTCGCGATGGTGTTGTCGTCAGTGATGGAAGACTTTACATATGCAGAAAAAGCAGACATGCATTACATGTACGACCGTGCAAATGTATCGTCATGGCTGCGCTACGAATATATCACGCGCAGTTTCCGAATAGACGAATGCTGAGTCAGAATGTTTCAGCGGTTGCATCATCAACTTTGTGAAACAGCTTCTTTGCACGTTATCAGACGGGATGCTGGTCGATTACGAACTGTAAGTAATCCAAGATTTGATGAAAGCATCTTGAACACTGTGGCTGATACACCCGCGTCAAGACTAACACCTGTTGCACAAAACGTAGGTGTAAGTCAACATACCATTTGGAGAGTGTTAAATGAAAATTACTCACATCCCTTCCATTTTCAGCCAGTTCAAGCTATGAATCTGCAAGACTATTCTCTGCGCTTGAACTTCTGCCAGTGGCTTTTGTGGCAATCTGCATTGCAGCCGGACTTCGCAGATTATGTGCTATTTACAGATGAGACGACGTTTACCCGCGAGGGTGTATTCAGTGCGCACAATTCTGTTGTAAGGGCAACTAATAATGCTAAACGCAACTTGACCACATGCGTTTTATCAACGAATGAGTGTGAATGTGGGGGCGGTTATCTTCCCCGATTTTCTAATTGTTCCATACCTACTGCTGCAGCTAGCGACTCAAGGTCTAACGTTCTTATTTTCCTGGAATAGGTGCTACCAGAATTTCTGCAAGATATTCCTATTTTCATTCGTAACCGAATGTGGTTCCGGCATGATGGAGCGCCAGCCCACTGATGTTCGCAATTACCTGAATACCACTTTTGGGGCGCAATGGATTGGCCATGGGGAACTAATCCCTTGGCCTGAACGATATCACGATTTATTGATCCTCGATTAGTTTTTCTGGGGGCATCTGAACAGTCTTGTTTATGCGATTCCAGCTGACTCAGCTGAAGATTTCGTTGCTCGAATAACAGTAGCTTCTGCATCTGTGCGTGAAATGCCTGGCATTTTTACCAGTGTACGCCAGTCGCTCTACTGACGCTGTCAAGTATGTATCCCTGTTGGTGGACGGAATTTTGAGCAGTTCCTGTATGTATGACTAAATAAATGGATTGTGACCTGGGTTTTCTGCGTAAACATTATTCTTGTTACATATCTTTGTTTGGTACCTCTCCTCCAACTTTGTACCTTCACTCTGGAATCACCCTGCATATTAGTTCAAAAACTAATATATTTGCTCGCTGAAAGTAGTAATAAGTGGTTGTAATAATGAAAAATAAAATGTTTTAAAATCATCACATATTCAATTCCGAATAAAGATATGCAAAACAAAATGGGGAAGCACAGTAGCAAACTGCAAAGAAAAGAAGTAAAACATGCCGAAATCAAAAATGTAAAATAAAAAAATTACGTCTTTCGCTGTATACGCCATCAGGAGATGGTGCAACGAAAGAAGTAAATAAAACAGTTAATTTCTAAACCAATAAAAACACAAAATTTAATTTAAAATTTAATACAATCTCATAGCAATCAAAGTAATCTGCATATTTATCAATCTAGCACCTAGAGGCTGAAGTAATCATAGGAAACAAATGTAAAATTATAGCATCAAAAAACATAAACAAATTTAAAATAGTGTTACGTTTTTTTCCTCACCATACGGGTTCGTGCATTTGGAGTGACTAACGACGACAGCACTTTATGAAGTATCGAAACACAATATTAGCCAATATTATTCAAGATAGCTCAAAAATTACGTTTACAGAAATCGAAGAACTACAAACACGCTGAAACAATCAGCGACACAGCCTCCAGGCTATCAGGCTATAACGGTGGAGACAGTGTCACGGCAAAGCACCAGAGTATAGCTCCCGACTTTGCTCGGTCGTTCTTGGAACTCTACGTACTCTCGACACTCTCTACGCTACAACTGGCTATGCATTCGACGACACACTAGAGTACAGCTACCGACACGGTTCAGTCGTTCCCGGAGCTCAACACACTCTAAGATAAAACTCGATAATGCACTAACTCGCGATACACTAATAGACTCTCTCAATGCTCTCGACGCACTAGACTATGAGACACTCGCTCACTGACTCAGACTAAGCACACTCTGACTGACTATCAACTCGATGAACTCTTCCGCGTACTAGCAGGTTTTATATCTAGCTTTTGGCTTACGTTTGAGAACATTCTGGGCTAAACCAGTA